TCTCGAGTTTACCTAGTATTTGAAAGAAAGCCAGTTAAAAAGAAGTTCTGATAATACCTACTTTGCCTCGTAAATAAAAATTAACATTGTTTTAATTTTTAACTTTCATAATATTAATAATCAATTGTTTGGCAGCAGCAATAGGATTATTTTTTTCCTATTAAATAAGTACCTGATAAAATTAATTTTCGGAATGTTTTCTTTGAAGATGAATCATCAGCAACCATCTCCTGCTCAGAGCTGGGACGTGGTAGTAATTGGGTAAATAGTTTCCTAGGTCAAAAATAAATTAATTTGACTTTTAATACAATAAAACATTGAAAATTCACTAGGTATACTTTTATTCATTGACCGATCGATACACTGAATGTTAGATATTTTTTAGCTAATTTTTTAGAAATAAGTAAAGTATTTGACACGAAACTACTATGACGACATAACTCAGTATTTCATACAAATTTCATAGAAAAGTATCGTTTTTGACATTTGGTAAAAGTATTGAATTTGGAAACTACCGTATTGCGATTGCGCTAGTAACCCTGCCTGGAATCACGGAATTATACTATGAGATCAATATTCTCTATATATCCTTTTAGCTACTACAAAATATTTAAATCATCTATAGCAAATACTCATTGAAATTCATTGTCCATTTCATGCTATATCTACGTAATCATATGGATCTCATTACCAATATGATACGAATGGTATACATCAGCTAGAAATAGACTGTGCTGTGTCGCTTTCCACGCTCCACATGATCGGAGACATTTGCAATTATCCACAATTAGACCCTACACATGAGTGGTATGTCTATTCAACTTGATACCTTACTCTGCACATAATTAAGAATATTATTCCTTAATTAGAGAAATCCGAGTAAATTGATCCGAGATTATTTAGCTGCTTGGAAGATGTGCTATCGAAGTTATGATGAAGCTCTAAAAACTGTTATGACTTCATTTTGTTAGATTTTGTATCAAGTAATATATAAAGATTTTAAAGAATTAAGGTCTTGGAGTGTATTAAAAAGAATTTTACGGAAATTGTCAGTGTTAGTTGTATAAGTTATCTAATGCTTATTTTAAGATTGAAATTCAATTGATAACTTTAAGTTTTTTATGGCTTTCGTAAGTTTCAAAGACATTGTGTGTATTGAGTGCTATCGATCAATGTGCGTCGCCTTAGAAATTTCCTATGTGGAAATAAATGTATTCTTCGTAAAGAATGTCATTGTTTTAAAGTGGTAGATACAAAATGTATGTAAATATGTATTTGATTGACAAATACTATTCATACTCATGTTATACGACAATAGAAATATGCAATGTAATTTTAAAACAATAATTCACTACAATGCTAGAAAAATATACGTGTGATTACATTTTTATTATTATGTGAAATCATCAAACATTTTTTAAGAACAAAAAGCCCGAAATTTTGGGTACAGTATCTCCAAATATACAGGGTGTAAAAAGACACTTAACGAAGCCGAAAGCCACGTATTCTACCCATTATTCGGATAATTTTTTTCTTTAAGACCATAGCTGGGACTTCACGGATTCTCGAGATATTGAAGTTCAAAGATGCATTTTCAATTTGTTTTTGCGCAATCGAATTCAATTATTATTACAAAACTTTTTTCCAAACAAACATTACCTGAATTTTCAATTTTTCTAAATAAATTACGCATTTGAAGTTACGAACAGTAATGTACGTAATAAATAAATGCAGACCCGCACAAAAACATCGTGCATCTCAGTAGGATTTTTATTTTACAGTATTGTTTTGTTGTTGCGAAGTAAAACGTCGACCTACGTACTTATCACAGTGTTTTAATGCTAAGCTATGACACGCACACAATGACAGGAAGCCCGTTTGCTTTACATTGCGCGCAATAATTTTTTTTTTTTGATACCAAAAAATAAAAGTCTTTTCCCAGTGATAATTTTAGCGTAAAGCTACTTAGTTAGAACTGCAGTATGCGTAGTTAACGGCTTCGTTAAGTGTCTTTTTATACCCTGTTTACTATCATACATTGATATAACTAAACAAAATTGGTTTTACGATTAGTATTATGTGGATTCCATAGTATCAAGCTTAGAAGTATGATATTGGTTACTTAGTGGTAGTTCAAAATGCCCATCTGGTCTCTGAACCATGGTAATGTAAAGGGCAAACTGTCCGGAAGTATGTGCCATGTGCTAAGTGGCCGGCTTACACTCAGACCTTACGGTTTCTCTAGCTATGTTAAACGTAGCTGTCGTTTAATTTTCCCGACGCTGTATGTTTATTCATGTGGAATAAATCTGTCCATATTGGTTCAGCCGTTTTTGAGATTAGCGCGAACATTCACAGCTTTACTTGAAATGGTATGTACACTTTTTATTATAATTAATCGGTCTTATGTGTAATGTCATTTCGTTTCACTGGATTAAGAACTTTATTTAGAGTTTTTAAATTTCGAAATTCTGTTTTCTTAATTTGAAATGGTCGTTTGTTTTAATGGAAATAATAAAATATTGTAGTGTGAGGTCTGTTAGCACTTTTTAATCAATTAGCCTATCATTCTAGACACTAAAAAACATGTAATAACCCACATAATTATGTTTGTAATATAAAACTAAAAGCTCCAAAGTGCCTTATCAACACATTTTCCACAAGCAATGGCCTGCGGATACGGAGAACCAGATATTTTGTTGCAATTCTCAATATTTGTCGCAACCACTCGTTGTGAGTTTACTGGCCGTTTATACATATACACAGAAACCTACATTCTATACACTTACATAATATTTTAAGAGCAGACAATATTTTAAACGTACCTTGTTCAATTGGTTGATCAAATCTTCCAAAGATTAACAACACACTTGCGATTTCTCTAGTATAGGTCACAGGTCCATCCCACAAAAAAAAAACAAGAATTAAAACTTCTAAAAGGTGTTTCAAGGCGTGTCATCCAATAGCACAAAAGTATTTCAAATAGTACGTCACTGGGTTCGATGTTCAGTTCTATGCAACCAATGACGGCAAATCTAAAATAATTATAAAATCCTTTTTTGTAGGCAATTATTTTCACTAAGGAATGATCATTCAATGTCTTATTTCGTATGAAACACGTATTTATAACAATTAACTTTGAGATTATGATATAAATTTCTCTTTAAAGTGTCAGTGATGTTTGTTAAAGAAGAATTTCAAGTCCAGTGTATTGTTAATTGTATTTACCTCAATATCTATCCAACCGTCGTCGCTTAACGTCCATTCTACGTTTCTTACATTCCAAAGCACCTAGTTTACGCAGGAAAATTCAGACTGCATCAAATTAACAGAACATTCTGCAGTTTTGGTTCAACACGAACGTTTATGAAACAAATTACAGCTTCTTCTGTTTGAGGATAGAGTCTGGTATGAATTGGAAGATGAAAGGATAGAATCCCAGCCGGAGTTTGCGGGGCAAGCGTAATAAGGTTTCTGTCTGGAGCAGGACAAAGAATGCGGTTGTTTTTAGTCTGTTAGAGCGTTACTCTCCCTCTCGCCTCATCTAGGGCGAGAAAAATCATTCGATGACTTTCCACCCTCAAAAAAGGAGCCGTTTTATTTTTATTTTATGTAAGAGATCCAATCAAAAGAAAAAAGAAAAGTTCAGGTCAAAACAGGTTGTGTTCTATTTGTAACCGAAAATTTGTCACAAATAAGGTTTACCTTTAAATAAAAAACATTATTATATTTCAATTTGATTCTAAAAACAAATCAATACGATTGAATAATCTTAAGCTATCAAATGACCTCTCAGTTTAATAAAAACGAGTGCACTATCTATGAGAAGTAGGTACAGTATATTGTTACAATATGGCGCCCACAATGTCTAGCATTGTTCTACGAGAAACTAAACGTAAGAAACACGCGAAAATCTATTGTTAGCATTACATATTCTGTATGATATGAGAGCTAGTTTATTCGCTTTTTTCATTTACAACTCCGAATTGTTCTTGATGTAATAGAATTCAATATAGATAAGCTGTATTACGACATTTCCCATGACAATTAACGCCTTATAAACCCTTTTTTTTTGTTTTGTGAAATAAGTACCTAGCTATTACGTAAATGAATAAAAAGTCTTGGCTTTTGATAATTATAAATCGGATCACCGGAACATTGATGAAGCTTAATCTATTAATCCCCAAGCGAAACCTGGTGTCCTCTGTTATATCGTTATCTCGTTGCGTTTCCAAAAATCTAGATTGCTAAAATGAGCCTGCATAAATCAGTAAACATTTTTCCTTAATTGTAGCGAATTTGTATCACTTTAATTACATTATCACAGTCGTTCTTAGGAAATTGGTACAGAAACTTAGTTTACATTGAACATTATAGCTCAAAACAGTTGCTCAATGAACCACAATCATTCCTTCAACAAGAAATCAACCCCAACGCGACCCAAATAGCAGTCATGCGGCATCTGTTAGAGCATTGGTGATCGTGTGTCAATCATTAGTCGTCGACAGTCAATGTATAAAGCGATCTATCTGTCATTTCGTAAACACAGCCTAACTAGGAACTAGGAACATATACCGTGGTCCAATAATTTCCACACTTTGATACCGTAGTAGCGAGTTGCAACAAATATAGAGTATTGCGACAAGATATCTTGTTTTTGTGAACCGGCCGCTGTTACGCCGGCAATAACAATCCACGAGGTAATTGCGGACACGACAATTATTAATAAACAATATTGCGTTGTGCACATAATTATTAACTACATTGTTGACATTTTATAAGTCTAGCTGCTTTCTACAGATTGATTTCTAGGTTGATACAGAGAAATTATAAAAATTCGGATGGAATATTCAGGCATGTGAGCGTATGGCGCGTAGCGTTCCGCGCGCCTCAAAGATCCAATAGACCACTGCAGGTGGGGTCCAAGAGGGCCGATGTTCAAGCGCAATAAGGTACCGCGGCTCTGGTCTAGAGCAGGACAAGGAACGGAGTGTGTTTAACAGGAGGAGTCTGACACTCTCTCTCGCCTTACTCTAGGCAAAAGAAGTCATTTGGTGATTTTCCTTCCTCCAAAAACGCCTTTGCCCTGCAGTAAGGCTATCTAATAACAATACGAAAGCTCACGAAATAATTTAAGATCATGATAATCATATTTTTATGCAGTCATGCCACTAACATTCCCGCTTTTGATTGATACAATACATATGCTAAGAAAAAATTCAACTCAAGATAAAATGAGTCTTACACCATCATACATCATCAGCCTATAAGTGCCCACTGCTGAGTAAAGGCCTCTTCTCACACTGAGAAGGTTAGAGCATTAGTCGCCACGCTTGACTAAGGGGGATTGGCGATCAGCTAAATAGGAATTATTAGTCCAGATTTCCTGACGATGTTTTCCTTCACCGTATGTCAGTGGTGTCTAAATAAAATTTAGTCCTAATCATTTCAAATAATCTTTTTTCATTTCGTCGTCTGATGCGAAGCCGCAGCGGCAACAGTTTTACAATAAGAAGCCATCGTTTAAATACCATTAACTTTGAATTAAAATCTAATAGCATTTCTCACGCTGATCAAACTCTTCCTCGGCTAAACAAAACTTGTTTTTTTATAAACTTTCCTTTTCGAATTTCATCGTCTTTGTAATAAAGTTGTGGATTAACTAGGTCAATCCAAAATGTTTATAATTATTTTAATTTTTACTTTGTATTATAGGGTTTTCTGATTAAATGTCTTGGGCTTTGACTTAACACGTTATCAGTTTTATGAGAGGGAATACGTTGAGGAAGTTTTAAAATTCTTGTATCAATCTTTCACCCGATACTGAAAGACATAAATAAAGGTCCAATCTAATCAAGTCATTCATACGAAAATGACTCACAAAATTTCACCAAGCAGGAATTCACTGAATTATATTTATACATATATATTTACTTTCTAAGAATACCTACACCTGTTTTCGCCAACCATAGCAAAATACAAATACTAGCACATCAAACTACACTAAACAGCCAAATTTTTTCAATCCGCATTCAACCTTATCATATCCTAATTAGGTTTGAAATTCAATAAAGAATATTTTCAGTAAAGGATAGCTTTATATGCTTTACAGTTATTATTTAACCAGGTGTTCGTTCGGTTGCATCATTGTGGCATACTATGCTGGCAGGTATCGACAAAAACCGTCCGTTGGGTAACTTGAGTAACGTTAGTTCTTGGTACGGCTGTAAGTAAGTACTGCAGTCGTAATTACTGATTGATGTACATCAGTACGTACTGGTAAAGGGATTTGACAAGCTTTTACTAGTGGCTTCACCCGCAGTATTAGATTAAGAAGCGTATATGTCTTATTCCAGACAATATTCTATCTCATTGCCAAATTTCATTCGTATGCGTTTAGTAGTTTTTTACGTGAATGAGTGACAAATTTACGCTCGTAATTACAAACTTCGCGTTTATAATAATAAAATTGTAATAGATAAATGAAAAAAGAAATAATAATAAGTCTAGTCCAGATACAAATAGTTTTTATTGTATTTTGAATGACATAAACCTGTTTTTTTTTATTTCACCAGTTGCATCAATAATTGTTTAAAAAAATTGTCTTATGAGTTCTCAGAATACGCATAAAACCTTAGATTAATTCCATCACACTACATACACATACCGTATCATAATTTGACCAAAACAAAACACATTAATATTTCCGCAACGCCATAGCTAATTTAAGGCTATGTTTATTAATTAGCCGCGCACACTGTATATAGGAAATACTTAAAGTTATAATGCACGTATTATATAGAAACGAACCATTTAATTACTCCGTGTGTAAAATTTCATTCATAATCGGTAATTACAGATTTAATTGTTTGTCGAGTGCCTTTTTGCGAGCAACCCCTTGGTTTATTGATTTCCCTTGGTTTCTAGATTTTTGAAACTCGTTTTATAATTAATTCAATAGGCGTATAGATACTATTTTTTTTATTTGTTTCAATTGTAAATTATATTTCGGCCTGAATTATTGGATCATTATGCACATTTCTATAGGTAAAAAATCTTTAATGTTTGCTTTTCATTTAACAGCCCGGCCCTATTGATAAAAAAAGTATAAGGTGGATATTATTTTACTTTTCTACTTTAATCTACATGTCCATGAAACCATAAGCAAAATTAAATGCTAAAGAACTCCTTTGTTGTAACAATTTCTGTATTTATATCACGCATCCTTTAAAATAACTTTTAAGTCTTTTTAAGTACAAGTTTCTGCTATCTAAATGACACAAAGGGCCGGATTTAACCTAAAGATTTGACTTTACTAAATGTCAAACGTGTTATAATTTTATGAGAATTCCCAGTACGGCCGAGTCCGCGCGCATATTTGATATCTTGACGACTGTTCCACGAGATTTCCATCTTGCGTTGCAGCGGCTGCAGTTCCCTGCACAATGCTGAGATGTTCTCAAATGACGACACAGTCCCACCATCTCGCCGTATCTGATGGAGAGCCTCCATCCATTAATCTCTGCTGCGATCAGCAATCAACCGAGCTATTACAAGTTATTATAAACTTCTGTTATAAATTGCGCGTTGGAAAAGCTGTAGATTGCGATGTCTTTATGAGTTCTGTTTTGTTTATTGAGAGCTGTTCTAATGAAACCGTTTCCTTTTATGGAAGATTTATGATGGAAAGATGATGGAGAAGGTTGAAGTAAAAAGTATATTTCAAAAGGTTGTCCGTATGTCTAAATAGTTGTATGTCTGAGCAGCTTCCTGTGACTATTCGTTTTTGTTAAAATTGGAGAACTCTCACGAACACATTGCGTGCGCCCGCCACGTTTAGCGGTCTTTTTAGATAGAGAACTAAGTTATAAGCTGCAGCGAATTAAAATATGCAACTTTAAACACGAACATCACTATCCCACGATCGTACCAAGTTGCAGACAAACTTACTTATAAGATATTTTGAAACGAATCCATCACAACACTTGACTTCAATAACAATAGAGTTTTTATATCGACAATCTAATGTAGGCAACATTATTCTCGATCCTTTTATGAGACATAAACAAAACTACATCTGATGACTATAACCTTGTAACTATTAAGTATGAGTAGATACAAGTACATATTGTGACAGAAAACTCTTTGACATCATGACGTCAATGGATGGTTGTCAAACGTTGCCTAGAGATTGTAAATTTCGTCGTGAATTGTCAATACGAGTTGGTGTAATTGGTAAGGCGTGTGGATTACACCACAGAGACCCCGAGTTCGAGTCCCGCCGTAAAAATGAAGTTTTTTAGTTGATGGAAGTTTTGTCGAACTTTCTGGAATTATTTGTGTGAAAGAGATGAAAAATTAAAGAGTGAGAAGGAGAATAAATAAAAATGAATAGCGAAATTATTGGAAGGTTCCGGAGGCATGACGATCAAAAAGAATAACGAAATTGAATGTTCCAGAACCTGACCGGGGGTATATAAGCAGAACTGCGGCTCACCGCTGGCAGTTGACTTCTAAGTCTAAAGTGATTCGGAAGAAAAGGAAGAAGTGAAAAAGAAGAAAAGTGAGTGAAATAGTGAAGTGCAGTGAAATAGTGAAGTGCAGTCAGTTAAGTGAGTTAAGTCAGCGTGAACGGCAAAGTTGTGTCAGTCGGCCGGACTCTGCTGAAGAAGAACGCCGATAACTTAACTCCGTGGACGCTGTAACTTAAGTGCAATAGAAAGTCTGAAAACCGGTATTAGTGTTTCATTTCATCCAATCCCGTAACCCAAGCCCGCATAGTCAGGAACGTGACGTCAGGCACGTAACATTTGGTGTCAGAAGTGGGATTGGAGAAAAATGCCGCTAGTGCCGCAGGACGTAAGAGGAGTGAGTACCCGTGCAATGGCAGAAGCGCAGCGTGTGAGGGAAGAGAGTGCTGCAGCTCAAACCAGCGATGCAGAAGCCAAGCCTGTGCAGGTGGATCTACTGCTACAGCTGCAGCAAATGATGGTAGAGCAAGCGCGCCGCCAAGAAGAACAGCTACGGGAGCTGAAAGAAGATCAAGCTCGTCGCCAAGAGGAGCATGCACGCTGTCAGGCGGAGCAGCTACGGGAGCTGAAAGAGGATCAAGCTCGCCGCCAAGAGGAGCAAGCGCGTCGCTTGGAAGACATGCATAAGGATTTCACGAAGGGACTGCAAAAGGCTGTCGAACGGGTACAAGAAGTGGAGGAAGGGTTAGGCAAGTTGGAACATCGCGTCAAGGCGATAGAGGAGAGAGTGGAAGAAGAGATCTCCAAAATCAAGCAGGAAGTGACAAGCTCAAGCCCTTTGAAGAGCCGAAGCCGTCTTGCAGCCGTTTTTGAAGCCCCAAATGCGGCTTCAAGTGCAACGAAAGGGCTTAAGATTCCCCATTACGACGGAACAACATCCTGGACCGCGTTCAAGCTACAGTTTGAGACACTTATGGAGGCTTATGGTTGGACTCAGAAGGAAGCACAGTCAGCCCTTACCCTGGCCCTCCGTGATCAAGCGCTCTCAGTGCTGGAAGCTATCGGCGCAAGTGGGGATCTCAGCTTTAGTGCCCTCCTCGACGCACTTGAGGCACGTTTTGGAGACAGCCACCTCGAGCACGTGTACAGAGCGCAATTAAAAGAGCGTACTCAGCGTGCTAATGAGGGCCTACAGCAATGGTCCGTGGAAATCGAGAAACTTGTGCGTCGAGCTTTCCGGTCGACTCCGTCAATGATTGAAGGCACGCTTCTCCAAGCGTTCATTGACGGTATTCGGGACCCCGAAGTACGAGCCGCTGTTCATCTGGGCCATCACAAGAACATGAAAGAAGCTCTGGCCCATGCATTGGAAGTGGAAGCCGTGCGTGGTAACTCCCGTACCTTACGTCTGCGGGAAATGACGACAACGGAGCAGGTACCTTCACGCCGTCGGAACTTCATGTGCTATGGATGCGGAGAGCGTGGGCACATGCGGAGCAACTGCCCGAAGAAGGTGAACCGCCAGGACGCGGCGGTCTCAACTTCTGACCAGCAGAAACTAAATCCAGCCAGGGCTGCGGGGTGGGCGCTGGCAGGTAGTGGAATAACCCCAACAATCTACATCAAGCAAACTAACGATGGAAATACTCTGGTGATAGACGGTCAAGTAAATGGGAAAAACAGTCAGCTAACATTAGATACTGGAGCTTCAAGGACGGTGATGAATGTTCGGCTGCTCGAGCAAAACATCAGGAAACACCTTAAACCAATTGTTGGCCTACAAATGAAATCAGCTACCGGCCAGTGCATACCGATAAGTGGAAAATTGCATGTAACAATCAAAATTGGGGAACGTGTTTATCGACATGAGGTTATTGTGGCCAAAATTCTGGATGACTGCATCCTGGGACTTGACTTCCTGCGAGGGCACCAGTGTAATATCGACTTAAAATCTGGAGTATTACTATGTGGAACTGAGGAAATTCCGATGAAGGGTGGAACCCTAGGAAAAGTTTGCTGTTTAAGAAGAACTGTTCTTGCACCAAAATCACAGACTCTCGTACCAATCGCATTACCTAGGAGGAGGGAAGGAAGTTTACCTCGAAGGTGCGCTGTGATTGATAAATCGGAACACGTAAACTCATGGCTACCGGCAAGAACTGTCGTGGGGTCATCTGATGTCAACCGCATTCCGGTATTCAACTTCAGTGATTCAAAAATTACGATTGAAGAAGGAGAGCCTGTGGGCGTATTGGAAGAAGTGGCCTGGATAAGAAAATGCTCAGAGAATCTTGTGAAAAAGGACAGTACGGGAATAGACTTTGTAACGAAAATCTTAGACGAAAACAAAAGTCTGACAAAAGTGGAGACTATGAAAGCTAGAAATTTACTTCTTCGATTCTCTGATGTGTTTTCAAGAAGCGATGGTGATATTGGCCGAACTGGTGTGGTGAAGCATAAAATAAACACAGGTGATACAATGCCAATTCGTCGAAGGCCCAGACGCATACCATTCGCTCGTGAGAAAGAGGTTGAACAAATGATTGACGATATGAGGAAAAATGACGTGATAGAGCCCTCTTCTAGCCCCTGGTGTTCACCTGTCGTGCTTGTCAAGAAGAAAGATGGTTCAACGAGGTTTTGCGTAGACTATCGACGATTGAATGATGTAACCAAGAAGGATAGCTACCCGTTACCAAGAATCGATGACACACTTGACACACTGAGTGGCATGAAATGGTTTTCAACGCTCGATCTGAAAAGCGGCTATTGGCAGGTGGATTTGGATCCCAAGGACAAGGAAAAGACTGCATTCTCAACTGGGAAGGGACTCTGGCAATTTAAGGTGATGCCATTTGGATTATGCAATGCACCGGCAACCTTTGAGCGTTTGATGGAACAGGTGCTGGCGGGTCTGCTGGGCGAAACCTGCCTAGTTTACCTCGATGACATCATCATTGTTGGACGGGATTTTGACGATCATCTAAGGAAATTGGAAAAGGTACTCGACAAGCTGCGTGGAGCAAATTTGAAGTTGAGTCCAAAGAAATGTTCTTTCTTCAAGCGCGAAGTGAATTATCTAGGACATGTTATCTCTGAGAGAGGAATTGAGACTGATCCAGCCAAGACTGTCGCTGTCAAGGAATGGCCAACACCTAAAGACAAAACGCAAGTTCGGGCATTTCTTGGATTGTGCTCGTATTATCGGCGGTTTGTGAAAGGATTCTCGGACATTGCCAAGCCATTGCATCGATTGACAGAGGAGAAACGTGCCTTTGTTTGGGACGAGGATTGTGAGCAAGCCTTTCGAGAACTAAAAGAACGGCTTTGTAACACACCAATTCTCGGATACCCCAGCGCGAAAGGAATATTCGTAGTTGATACGGATGCCAGCAATATTGGAATAGGAGGTGTCCTTTCACAACGCGATGGTGAGCAGGAGAAGGTTATTGCTTACTTCAGCAAGTCACTATCCAAGCCAGAGAGGAATTATTGCGTGACCAGGAGGGAATTGCTGGCTGTAGTCAAAACCCTGCACCATTTCAAGAAGTATTTACTGGGACGGAAATTTTTGATCAGAACTGATCACGCTGCTTTGAAATGGCTGCTTCAGTTTAAGGATCCCGAAGGCCAAGTAGCCAGATGGCTGGAACAACTTCAGGAATTTGACTTTGAAATCGAACATCGCGGCGGAAGAATTCATGGCAACGCAGATGCATTATCGAGACGCCCATGCGTGGAAGATTGCAAACATTGTGCTAAGAAGGAAACTGCTTTTCTTAAGGTGATAAGGACTGATACTGTTGACGAGGCATGGGGAAATGATGCGATGAAATTAGAACAGGAAAGAGATGCAGATATTAAACCAATACTGGAGTGGCTACGAAGTGGTAACAAGCCAAGTTGGAGTGACGTCGCCCAATATAGCGCGGTAACGAAAGGTTTATGGGCACAGTGGAAAAGCCTTACGCTGCATAACGGACTTCTGTGCAGGAAATGGGAATCAACAAACGGCAAAGACGAGCATTTGCAATTGGTGGTGCCTCGTTCAAAAATAAGGGATGTATTAAAAGCGTTCCATGATGGATCTTCTGGAGGACATTTGGGAATTAGGAGGACTTTGGTGAAGATCAAGGAGAGGTTTTATTGGTTGCATTGCAAATATGACGTCGAAGATTGGTGCCGGAAATGCACTAGTTGTGCAGCTGTCAAGGGTCCACAAACAAGGAGCAGGGGGGCGATGAAAATCTACAATGTTGGTATGCCTTGGGAGAGAATAGCCTTAGACATCGCTGGACCATTTCCAATCACTGATTCGGGCAATCGCTACGTTTTAGTGGTTATGGATTATTTTACAAAATGGCCGGAGGTCTTTGCCATACCGAATCAAGAGGCAGTAACTGTAGCGACGAAGTTGGTAAACGAAGTATTCACCCGATTTGGAGTACCCTTGGAGATGCACAGTGATCAAGGACGGAACTTTGAATCCCAAGTTTTTCAGGAAACTTGTAAACTTTTGGGAATCCATAAGACTCGAACGACCCCTTATCATCCACAGTCAGATGGAATGGTCGAACGCTTCAACCAAACATTGGAGCGACACTTAGCAAAGGTGGTTGACAGCCATCAGAGAGATTGGGACACTTACATACCTCTCTTCTTGCTTGCCTATCGGACTGCTGTACATGAAAGTACCGCAAAGACGCCTGCATTTGCAAATTTTGGAAGGGAATTGAGATTACCGGCAGATCTTGTGTCGGGCTGTCCACCTGGTGACTCTCGCACCGAGTTTAGCGATTACATAAGCGAGTTAAGGGCAAAAATGTTGGACATTTATGAGCAGATCAGGGAGGCCGGTCTTCAAGCTAGTGATCGCGCAAAGACGCGCTATGATCGACGAGCCAATTCTGTTGGGTTTGAAGAGGGGTCATTGGTCTGGCTTCATAATCCAGTCAGAAGGAAGGGAAAATCTCCAAAGCTGCAACCGAGTTGGGAAGGTCCTTACGAGATAGTCACGAAGATCAATGACATTACTTACAGAATTCGGAAGTCTTCAAGGAGCCCTTTGAAAGTTGTCCATATAGACAGGTTGGCGAGGTATTACGGCAGCAACGATGCTCGGGACGAGCGAATCTAAGAGGGGGGCAGTGTGACAGAAAACTCTTTGACATCATGACGTCAATGGATGGTTGTCAAACGTTGCCTAGAGATTGTAAATTTCGTCGTGAATTGTCAATACGAGTTGGTGTAATTGGTAAGGCGTGTGGATTACACCACAGAGACCCCGAGTTCGAGTCCCGCCGTAAAAATGAAGTTTTTTAGTTGATGGAAGTTTTGTCGAACTTTCTGGAATTATTTGTGTGAAAGAGATGAAAAATTAAAGAGTGAGAAGGAGAATAAATAAAAATGAATAGCGAAATTATTGGAAGGTTCCGGAGGCATGACGATCAAAAAGAATAACGAAATTGAATGTTCCAGAACCTGACCGGGGGTATATAAGCAGAACTGCGGCTCACCGCTGGCAGTTGACTTCTAAGTCTAAAGTGATTCGGAAGAAAAGGAAGAAGTGAAAAAGAAGAAAAGTGAGTGAAATAGTGAAGTGCAGTGAAATAGTGAAGTGCAGTCAGTTAAGTGAGTTAAGTCAGCGTGAACGGCAAAGTTGTGTCAGTCGGCCGGACTCTGCTGAAGAAGAACGCCGATAACTTAACTCCGTGGACGCTGTAACTTAAGTGCAATAGAAAGTCTGAAAACCGGTATTAGTGTTTCATTTCATCCAATCCCGTAACCCAAGCCCGCATAGTCAGGAACGTGACGTCAGGCACGTAACAATATAAATGATGTACCCGAAAGCACATGCGATTACACAAGTCCACCTGCAGTTACTGAGCCAATCAGAGCTATGAAACGTTTGACAATCGCTGGATTAGATGATGATTAGTTCTGTGAGTATTTAGAAATCACTGACGGTACGGTAAAGGAAAACAAGTGAGGAAATAGAACTTATAATTTTTAATTTCGGCAATCGGCCTTGAGGAAGCTTGGTGGTTAATGCTCAATCCTTCTCCGTTAGAGAAGAGCCTTTGCTCAGCAGTGGGCATTTACAGGCTGATGATGTGTGTATGTGGGGGGGCTTTCTGAAACAAACAGGTTCATAAGCGTGAGTGATTGCTGTCCTTGTGGGAATAATAGCAAATCACTAACGAAACAATTCGCTTCCAGTGCTATCACCATAATCGCTGAAGAGTTCAATTCTTTGCCGGAGTCTGTGTTCTGAGAGAATAGGTTGCGTATGGTTTGGTGTGCTCCATAGTGGGTCGTATCTTCGCTTACGACCAGGCGAGATACTGGTATACTGATGAATAAAAAAAAAACACTATGATTAAGACAATTAGACCACTTTTTTAATGCGACCTATCTGAATCTGATCCGAAACCGTAAAAAATCGGACGGTATTCGGATGTTCCTATAAAGAAATCTGACGACGGATGTAGTGAGTAAAAAACTATAGAAATAGTTGTTCCTACGACGATTATTGTGCGTGTATAACGGATTTTTATTTAACTGTTCGGATCGGTTTCGGATCACACGTAATACACAGGATAACTGAGGTGACCTAGATTGCTAGTTGAAGAATTTTACCTTTAGGTAGGTAGAGTGAACTCCCCTCGAGTTCACTCTACCTACACAGAACAGTTTTTTTCTAGAAAAAGTTACTGCTACATTTTTAAGAAAAATATAAATGTATTTTTATGTTGATAGATATTTTATTATATTGTCTAAATCAAAGAGAAACACGAGTCTGCATCTATTTTAAATACCAGTAGTTTATTATTTAAATAAAAACTCATAATTTATGTCTTTTATCATTTCTGCTTAAAGTTTTAAGCTTTGTATTTTTGTGTGAAAAGATCAACATAACTTTCTCTCTGTCAAACCCACAAATACTTATCAGACAAGATTCGATTTCGTTGGGCAACACAACACGTGTAGCGGTTGTGTGCGCGTGCGCCGGTTGTCGCCGCGCTAACTGCGGGTGCGCAGTGCGCTGTAACACTGTCGCCAAACAACTAACTGTTTTGATTAAGACTAGTCAGTAGCGGTAGCGAAGCTTCACAACTTGAGAAAAATAGAAGCTACATAATTGACAACAAAACTGAGTTTAAAAAAAGGAAAATGTGTCATAAATATAAGTGCACGAATTTTATGGGGTTGACAGTTTTTATCTGTAAGTTTTGTCGTTTTATCGTTCAAAAGTGTCTGTACCTAAGGGTCTAATTGAAATAAATGATTTTAATTTTGACTTTGGTTCTATATACATGCTAGGGAGTTGGATATAGTAGGTTAATTTATTTGTCAATATTGATGTCTTTGTTATCTCTTTGACCATCATTACAAGCAAATACAAGAGAACTAAAAATCCATCCCATAACGGTGAGTACAATCGTTTCAAACCGTTTACATCGCTTAATAGCAAAACTTAATTGTCGCTCTTATTAGTTCTACTTCGTGCCTATTACTAAATAAATTATTATTCAGTAAACCACAAAAGAGATTGGTAGGAAATAATCCGACGATTGTTTGTTCCCGTAGCGGCGCTTGCGCAGTGGGTCGTCGGCAACTGACACAGTTGAAATGAACGATAGATGCCGTTACTGTTCACTTGCGATTAGACGATCATGATGTACGGAACATTCATGTTCTCCGATTCGATTCGGTTAGCGTCCATCTTAACTCTGATTGCTCCGTAAGGATCATAAGCGTTGTGATTACAATGCTCCTCTAGTACTACAGTGATTGAAGTTCGTGGAAGTCGGTTAATGGTTGTGCCCGCTTAGTTTTTCTTGGAGTTGAATCGGAACAATTATTTCGATTGCTTTTAATTTCTTATGTACCTAATTGGAATGGCGACCCATCCATACCCATATAGATACTAATCGTGATACTGATAATACTAAATTTGTTTCGACTTTGTTTTATACTATCTAGTGATGATCGGTCAATCATAGATCAAGATATATGTACAATAATTGTACTATAAATACCCAGATTTTCGTTTTCATATTCCAGTTTTATGTTATAATCTTATTACAATATATTTAGCTTAGTCTCGCACAAAATAATAGGTTTACTAACTTGTTTCTATACCAGATCAAAATAACATAAATGTCACGTTTGTATTCGTCGAAATGATAAACCTAAAATCTAGAATAAATGTCATTTTACTATAAATCCTAATACTAATAATAATAAACACCTATTATAAATATTAATAATTTCGCAATAACGTTATGAAACTGTATCACTAGGTTACCGACGTACGTGAGTTATAACTATTTGTCGAATAAACACTTATGTGCTTGCATCAGCTCGTTTAGAAATTAGGAATGCACACTATTCACGGAAAAAATATATTCAATAATAATTTTGTATTTTATATAGAAACTAGCTTTTGCCCGCGACTTCGGTCGCGTGGAATAGTAACTTCCTGCAGATTTTTGGTGTAAATGTCGGTTTTCGAGTTCCAAACTATGTCTATACCAAATTTCACAGAAATCGGTTCAGTAGTTTAGGAGTGAAGAAAAGACAGACAGTATTAGTTTGGTTATAAAACTTATAATCTATCTATACATATTATAAAGAGGTAAAATTTGTAAGTTTTGTAACATTTGTATTTTTTCTAAACTGAACACAAACCCGGGTTTTAATTAATCTTTGTACCGCGACCCCAGCTGGGGGAGGAGAAGGAAAAGAGTGGGTTTTAGTCAGTAAAAGTCTGTTACACCCTTTCACAATTCAATTTAATCAATTGGGATTTCTCAGACAACACAAATGCATCACACGTCCATTGGCAAAAACAATACTTACATAACTGACATTTTATTTTCCTAGTAGACTCGTTAGGTTCAATAATCTATTCATTGTCAAAACTCTCCGAAACAATATGTAAATGTAAACAACAAAGCTATTAGTAGAAGCGTGCCATCTACGGGCAGGTGCCATATTCGACGCGAGCGCCATCTACACCGGCGAGATATGACGTAACCTGCGATCCAGCTTGCCTGGCACATCAATAAAGTTAGATTTTGTAACAGTTTCGTGAGAAATACATTTAGTTTAGATATCGTGATGTGTATAATGTCTTAAGTCGAGCAATTGTCTACCTACTGTGTAAGTATGTGCATGCTTAATGCGGTACATTGCAAGAACATGTAGGTTATCTGAACTTGTATTAAGATGATTTAGATTCGTTCGTGTGCCAGTAATTTTGCCGGCACCCGAAGGTTTTGTGGAGTTATGTTCTTTGGGTAAACGTAGCCTCATAGAGGTATAGTCTGAAATTAAACTTTGAATGACTTCAATGCATTCTACATATCTACTGTTAGGGCCTATGTTTTAAAGAGTTGTGAAGTAATAAATAAAGGATTTTAATTATCTTTCACTTCTTAGATACCGATAAACTAAGTGATAGCTCCTAATTTCTAAAAGTTTAAATCTTTTTATTATTTTTCATGTCTTCACTGAATGGTCACGTAAGTATTAAGAAGATAAGAAGCAATACAAACGAAAAAAAAATCACTTAATAAGACAGTTATCGTAAATTGATCTCCAGAATCCGCGGACACGTGAACGCGGAGCGCGGCCCACACACAGTCGCGTGCATTTCAAACAAAGTTTACTCTCGAAAATGAAATTATTTTGGTCTTGCAAACTGATTTTATATCTTGAATATTTGCACGCATACCTACGTCAATATTCTGCAATGCTAGAATTCAATCGGTTTACAGTTAATTCTTTGTCTATATTAAGGAAATACCGAACGACTGAGGCAATCAATCATCAATTAAGCGCCCTCTATATTTTCATTTCACTGGCAACAAAACCTACGCACACACTATTATTTATCGTTTTATTGTAACAATAATTACATCCTTAATGGAGCATGCAAATTGTGCGACTTTTACACAAAACCTCTTCACGATAGATTATGTAGTAATCACATATGCGTTTTTCTCAAGCGTCGTCTGTGCGTAACAATACCCCCTGGTAGTTTGGTGTCGTGGTACCGTGGTAGCTAGCTTTCTACCGACGACAATGTGACGTAAGGGTGCGCCAATTAACGGTGTCATGCGCTTCAATGGAAGCTCTCACGGTGCATGCGATGCTCAGGTGCTGCTGATCAGGCTCAGTTACTGCCTCAACTGTTGGAGTGTAACGGTTGAATCTGTGCCATACATGGTTTGGTAGTTTTCCCTGTATGAGGTCTGAAATTTATGTGAGATGGAATTCCATTCAATTGATTTCTGTTGTTCGGGCCTAATCAATTTTTTATGTGATTGGACAGTACACAAACTTGTTAATGGATTACCTGATGGTGGTGGACAATCGATGCAGTCCATGGACTTCCGCAACACACGAGGAATTACGAGTGCGTTGCCAGCGGTACGGATATTAGGTTTTAGAAGACTTAAAGATTTGGGGGAGGTGTAGAAGGATTGGGCTTTCGGTAACCTCACTTACATGGCCAAACGCTGAGGTTGGTTCACGCCGGTTTTCTTTGAGGCCGTGGCATCTCTCTGGTCGAGCCGGCCCAATCGTACCCAAGCATGACTCTTTCACACTTAAACTTAGTTTTACATATATTTGCAAGACTGTTTCATTGATTTTCAATATCGATTAATAAAGTATCTATTACTCTTTGCAATACAAGTCAAAAGTTCCCAAAGCTAAGTAGAAAATAGTCTTTCTCCAATTCTCGAGCGCATTCTAATTCAATTACGGGTGTTGCGGTAAATATGTGAATTGCGTAATGTTAGCGAACTCCCAAGTAAATAGTCGGCTGCGGCTGTCGTGAAATTTCGATAGTATTGTAAACAGTCGGTCTTAAGTGGTATGTTATATAATGTATGTTTATGTTATGTCTATAGTGAGTACGTGTGGGTAATCAATTGTTGAATTAGCCTCTACGTGGCATTCTCACGCCAGTCACTTTCCTTGTACATTTGCTTACGTTACGCACTGTTCATACATTCTTATTTCTTATGTATTTTCCGCTTAAAGGTCGTTAGATATTCGTATTTATTGGTCAATTGTTTGGATAATGAAGTGTCCAACTT